TCCTCCTCTTTTTGCTGAGGAAGACTGGCCCTGGGCTAACATCCATGCCCATCTTCCTCCACTTTATATGGGACGCCGCCATAGCATGTCTCGCCAAGCGGTGCGTCGGTCGGTGCTAGCCCGGGATCCGAACCGGTGAACCCCAGGCCGCCGCAGCGGAGCGCGTGCACCCAACCACTTGCGCCACCGGGTCAGCCCCGAAATCTTTTATTTATTTTTTATTTTTTATTTTTTTGTGAGGAAGATCAGCCCTGAGCTAACATCCATACTAATCCTCCTCCTTTTTTTTTGCTGAGGAAGACCAGCTCTGAGCTAACATCTATTGCCAATCCTCCTCTGTTGTTTTTTCCCCAAAGCCCCAGTAGATAGTTGTATGTCATAGCTGCACATCCTTCTAGTTGCTGTATGTGGGACGTGGCCTCAGCATGGTCGGAGAAGTGGTGCGTCGGTGCGCGCCCGGGATCCGAACCCGGGCCACCAGCAGCAGAGCACGCGCACTTAACTGCTAAGCCATAGGGCCGGCCCGAAATCTTTTATTTTTAGATTGAGATATGATCCACGTACATCAAAGTTCGCCCTTTTAAAGTACACAATTCAGTGGTTTTTAGCAAATTCGAGTTGTGCAATCATCACTCTCAATTTGAGAACATTATCATCAGCCAAAAACAACCCTGTGTCTTGAGTCGTCACACCCACCCCCCTAAGCCCCCCAGCCCCTGGCAGCCGCCATCCACCCTCTGTCTCTGTGGAGTGACCCGTCTCTGACACTCCAAGGAAACAGAGCCGGACACCGTGTGGCTGTATCCGTCAGGGTCCTCCAGAGAAACAGAACCGCTAGGACACGTGGAGACAGAGAACGGGGGGCTTGATGGCGGCTCACGTGGTTATGGGGCCGACAAGTCCCATGGTCTGCTCCTGGAAGCTGCAGACCCAGGAGGGCCCGCGGGGCGACTCAGTGCGAGGCGGACAGCCCGGGAACCAGGAGCCCCGTGTCCCAGGGGAGGAGGGGCTGGACGACCCAGCTCAGGAAGGAAGAATGCGCCCCTCCTCCCGCTTTGTGTTCCATGCGGCCCCTGATGGATTGGGTGATGCCCACGTGGGGGCAGCGATCTCTTTACTTGGTCTACTGGATGAAATGCTGGTCTCCTCCAGAGGCTCCTGCACAGACACACCCAGGAATAGTGTTCTACCAGCTCCCCGGGCATCTCAGGCCAGGCAAGTTGACACATAAAATTAACATCACGGTGGCCTTCTGTGTCTGGTTCTCTCACTGAGCGTC